GGCGGCCGTGACCGGGTGTTACGGTTTGAAGGGGCCACAATTTATTGTCGGTCAGACAATTACTCCAACGCCTGATGACCCCTCCGCACCCAGGAAGGGAAATCGGAAAAAACCAAGGAAACCCAAGGGTTGAAATACAAACAGATTTAATAGAATAGTACTAAATAATTAACATTAATAATACTAAAGAGCCAATATTGATCCCGATACCAATATAAAACACACAAGGGTTATACTCGGCCCATCCTATCCGTGGGAAGCCGTGCGCTCCCAACAGGGGAGAGCCAATGTGGGTCACCGAGCGCTGCGATTTCGGGGGGAAAGGAAGGGCTCGGGGGTCCAGCACCGGGGCAAGAAGGTCTCAGGATGGCAGCCATCAAGGGAGAGGAGAAAATCCTCAGCAAACTTTCTAATTTGTAGTGAATGTGACGTTCATGGTATGAAATAACCTGTTGGCCAGCTTGGGTTGGGTGCTCAGGTCCTGCTCCTCCTCATCCCCGCACCTGGTGAGCTCGAAAATACTGAGACCTTGAAACCCACAGACCGTAGCTGGCTATAAAGCAAATATTTCCACAAATTCAGACTCTAGAGTCTCCTAAAAATGCAGTTTTCCCAAGCATTAGAAGAGACCTTGCCGAAAAGTAAAATTGCTGAAAGAGAAATGAATCCTGTGTCGCTCAAACCAGGACACCGGGGGACCCGGCCGACCCCAGCAGTGGTGGGTCATGGCGGCTGAGTGCGTGGGAGGGCATCTGGTGTCCCCTTGTGCCCACCAACCTTCGAGTGAGGGGAACCCTGCGGGCCTTTTCCCGGGCCTCCTGTGGAAGAGGGAAGAGCCTCAGGGTGCCTGAGGGGGGTAGGGGCTGCTCCCTGGCTCGGCCCGGTCACGCGTTGGGGTGGCACCAGGTCCCAGGAGCAACAGGATGGAGGACAGAGGGGTCCCTCCGACAAGGGGGGATGCCCGTGGTACAGGTGAACCCCAGCCCCATCGCGGGAGGAGGAGGAAGAGGGAGCCAGTCCCATCTCTCCAGGGAGAAGGAAGGGTCCTGGGGAGGGGGTGGGCAGCGTGCTTGGAGGGGGCAACGCCGGGGCGCTTTGTGACATCATCGTCGCTCAGCCCTGGCCCAACAGCGTCCGGGAGGAGTGCAGCCACTGGTGTCCCACCTGCGTCTCACCTGCGTCTCACCTGCGTCCCACTGCCCTGACAGAGCAGACCCCAGTGGTGTGGTGTTTCCCTCACCCCTTTCCTCCCCCCATCCCTCCCTCCCTCCCGCAGGATGGCGGGGGTACCCCCCAGCCACCCCAGGCTGGCCTGGGTGGGGGAGAGCAGACCTGCCCAGGCTCCCAAGGCCAAGGAAAAGCCCGACATGGTGTGCAAGGTCCAGCCGCTGCTGGAGGGTGAGTGTGTGGGCGCTGTGGGTGGGGGGGGGCAGCCCCCTGCCCTCCCCTCCCCTGCCCAAACCTGTCCCAGGCTCGCATCCTCCAGCCGGGCTGGCATCGGGGTTGCCATGGCGCAGCAGCCATGGAGTCAGCCATGTCGCGGCATCCCAGGGACAGGGACCCTGACCGACCTCCCCCCCTAGCTGGTGCCAGCATGTCCCTCACCCCGACACCCCTCCCCGTGCTGCCCTCCAGCATCTCGCCCTCACTCCTGGGGCAAGAGGGGGACACCGATGTCCCCGCCTTCAGCCAGGGGTGGTGACATCCCCGGGAGTTGGGCAGAGGAGTTGAGTGTTCCCCCCCTGCCTGTCCCCCAGTCCTGCCAGCCCCCGCTCAGACAGATCCGTGCCATTCCACCTTGGCTGCTCCCAGGGAGGAAGAGAATACCCTGGGCATCATCCGAGCCGCCATCAGGAGCATACCAAAGGTATCTGTGGCCACTTCTATGGGGCTGCACCCGTGTCTCCCGGCTGGTCTTTCTGCCCCCATCCTGTGCTCAGAAGGTGCTGGGGGCTGTGCTGGGCACCCCCCCGGCTGTCTCTCCCCACCGCTGACAATGTCTGTCCATCTGTCCCCTCCCTGGCTGGTAGGAAGAGGACCAGAAGCTGAAGTTTCTGGCCTCCGTCTGCAGCGTCTGCAGCACCATCAGCATGGACTCCACCGTGTGGAACAATCTTTACTTCTGCCAGCTGGAGGTGGTGGAGACCGTCGAGGTGAGGGGACAGCCAGCCAGGCTGAGGCAGGGGCAGGGGGCAGTGGCACAGCCCTGAGGGCAGGAGAAGGCTCGGCCGGGCAGGGGTTGCAGATGAGCGCTGCTCTGGGTCTCCATCCTTGCAGATGCTCCAAAGCCACCTGGGTGGCCCGGCTGGAGCCGGGGCTTGGACCCAACGATGTTTGCAGGTCCCTCAGCCAGCCCGTGGCTCTGTGATGGGCACAGCCCTTCCCACCACGGGGCTTGGGACCACTGGGTGCTGGGTGAGGAAGGGGGGTGCCAGGATG